CTGTCTAACTAATGAGTGGGTCAGACCCTGTTGATGATAGAGCTGACGAAAGGAGACTAACACGTGCACGGGCACTAAGGGTACCGCACGTGTTCCAGGCCTTACAACCGGGAGACGAAGCACGGCTTCGGGCCGAACGTAGAGCCCGTGCTCTAGCAGCGGGGATAGCAGCAGCAAACGCAGCAACTAGAGAGCAGGCAACAGCAGCCAGAGCAGCAGCGATGGCTAACGGCGCAAGCTCTGCTGCGTCATCATCTGCGTCCTCGTCAGGGACTAATGGGGGCCAGTTGGGAATGCCAACAAGCTCCACAAGTTCCTCGGGCACTTCCGGTTCCACAGGTTCTAGACAGTCTTCTAGTCAAATGGCGGGCTCGCAGYTCAGCCCGTTGACCCCGCGTCAGAGGGAGCTCAGAGAGATCCAGCAGGTCGAGATGCTCCGCCGTAAGTTAGAGCAGGACCTGAAAGAAGCTACCGATAGAGAAAATGCGATGAAAACTAGAGCAGCCAGGCTTGAAACTTTAGAGGTTGACAAGGCTGAACTAGAGGGCTTGGATGAGTCAGCTATGTCTGACGACATGAAAGTTTTGAAGAAGAATATGCTGTCACTACACGCACACGTGGACAGCAAATTAGACTTCATGCAGAGCACTCTAGACCAGATCCTGGATGCTTTGACAAAGCCAGGATTCCGGYCACCAGCACAATCGYCGTTGCCGTTATCGGCRATGTCAGGCCCCTTTCCGGTTCAAGCTGGCACACAGCCAAGTGGCACATCTGCAGCAGYCGCACAGACTGTTGCATCTTCTTCTTCGGGTCCAGCGGTGGTTGCTACACCACCGCAACAACCTGTCTCTCAACAGGGGCAACAACAAGGTCAATGGTACCCCAAGACCCCAATGAAACCGCCTCTTGCCTTCTCAGGCGAGAGGAAGGACAAGGAACTCAACACATGGTTGAGGACGGTCTCGGTTTGGGTGAAGGCCAAAAGGACCTTGCCAGAGGATGAAGTGGTAACTGCGGCATCTTACCTAGAGGGTAAGGCAGCCAAATGGTTAGATGGGGTAGTTGTGAAAGCCGGGTACGGGCGACGCATGGCGGACTGGGCCAAGTCTTTGACTCTAGACCAGTTCATGGAGATGGCAGAAGCTCGATGGCATAACCCACAGGAGGCGCAAAGGGCCACTGATGCCATAAATAAACTAGACCAGCGCAAGTTCCGGTCAGTTAGAGAGCTTACGACTACCGTTGAGAGCCTGATCCTCGTCCCGGGCATCAACTACAGTGACCAGTTCCTGTTAACTACTTTCATTAGATGTCTTCCAGAGAACATCAGGAACTTACTAGCCAGTGAGGCACGCACCGAGTACCACTCATTTGAGACATTGTCTAGGAAGGCTTTAGATTTGGAGGCCACGCTAGGCAATTCTCAACCCACCTCAGGAAATGACTCAAAGAAGAAGAAGAGTCCTAAGGAGTGGAAGAAGAAGGGGGCGAAGTTGATGATGGTGGAGTCTGATGGGACTCAAATAGAGATCGACGAGCTCTCTGACCTGGTGGACTACACAGAGTTTGACGGCGAGGAGATAGCTGAGGGTAGCACCCTCGCCGCGGTAGTAAAGACTAAGGCAGGTGGCCGAGGGAAGGGCCAGCCTAGGGGTCAAGGGAAGGCCGCCTCCAATCAGACCAAACAGGCTGAGTGGGTAAAGGCAGGTCTTGATCAAGACGTGTGGCGTGACCGCCGAATGCGTGGCGCTTGTATCAACTGCGGAGAATACGGACACACGCAGTGGAAGTGTCAGAACGCTAAGGTTACGCAAAAGGTTGCGCCAAAAGTTGGGGCAATTTATTCCCAGGCTTCTAGCTCGGGAAACACATGAGGCCAGTGGAAGTAGTAGCTGCTTCTACTCAAGATGAAGTAGGAATGATACCCTCCCTACTTCATGACAAGGCCAAGGCTAATGACCCCTTAGTCACCCCGCGGACACAACTAGACCAAATTATGCTCTGTACGTTAGATGTGTCTGAAGCCTTAGAGGACTTAGAGAGTGAGTGGTCAAACAAGGACCCTTGCGAGTCTTGGGTGGCGTTGAGGAAAGGTCCTAGAGGGGAACATTTCATGGTGGAAGTCGATGTAGGAGGCCGCAAATGTGGTGCCTTCATAGACATTGGCTCCACACGAAATTACATAAGTCGCGATTGTTTGGAAAGGCTGCACCTACAGGACTGGGTACGACACCTTAGTAGACCTGTAGCATCTACTTTGGCCAACAAGGAGCGATGATTGTAACAGACTACATCAAGGACGTAGTCTGTACCTTCTCCTATGGACGAGGTGAGCTTAACCATAAGATCTCGTTCTTGGTTAGCGACGACTTGCCATTCGATATGCTGTTAGGCATGTACTACCTCGAAGTTGCTAAACCCCAGTTCGACTGGGATAAGAAGGTGCTCAAACACAAGTTGCCCGATRGCCGAACTGTCAGATTGACCAAGTTCAGGGSCAGTAGTATTATAGATACCTATGGCTGCTTGTGCGCATCCGCGTTCTACAACTATTACAAGCAAAACGAAGAGGAGGGTATGTACCTTGTTTATGTCTCTGAGAAGGGGGAGGCCGTTAAAACACCGAAGTTCCCTGATCTGTTTGAGGAGCCCACAGGAGTTGTTGAAAGGAAAGTCGTCCACGCTATAGAAATCATTCCAGGAAGTAAGACCCCAAAGGGAAGGATCTATAGGATGGCCCCTGCCGAGTTAGATGAACTTCGGAAGCAACTCAAGGAGCTGACAGAGAAGGGATGGATTCGGCCTAGTACTTCCCCTTACGGATCACCCGTTCTATTCGTACCGAAGAAGGGGGGTACTTTGAGGATGTGCATTGACTATAGAGGCCTCAATGCCATCACTGTGAAAAACGCAGAGCCTCTACCTCGCATAGACGACCTATTGGATAGGGTGCAGGGATGCAAGTACTATACAAAGATAGACTTGAAATCCGGATATCATCAGATCGCAATAAGACCTGAGGACCAACACAAGACAACTTTTTAGACTCGTTATGGTGTGTATGAGTTTGTAGTGATGCCTTTTGGTCTTTGTAATGCGCCGGGTACATTCCAGCACGCTATGAATCGGATCTTCCATGACCATTTAGATAAGTTTGTCGTAGTCTATCTAGACAACATTCTGATCTTTAGTTAGTCTGCCAAGGAGCACGCACAGCATGTTGAGACAGTACTCTCATTCCTAGGACAGCACAAGTATAAGGTCAACTTAGAGAAGTGCGAGTTTGGCGCACTAAGATACTATACTTGGGTCATGAAGTATCCGCGGAGGGGATTAGGCCAGAAGATGCGAAGGTGGCTAGTATTCGAGACTGGCCACGACCTCAGACAGTCACTGAGGTCAGATCATTCTTAGGAACGTGTGGCTACTATAGGAACTTTGTAAAGAACTATTCTACAGTCGCCTCTCCTTTGACTGATCTAACTCGACTTGACACACCGTGGGACTGGAGTGATGAGTGCGAGGGTGCTTTCAAGAGATTGAAGCATGCACTCATGAATCATGAGGTCCTCATGGTTCCTGATCCGCAGAAGCCATTCGTAGTGACCACTGACGCAAGCCAATACAGCATTGGCGCAGTGCTGGCTCAGCAGGATGGGAAAAAGTTGAGACCGATTGAGTACATGAGTAAGAAGATGCCATCGAAGAAGTTGGCTAAGTCCACCTACGAAAGGGAACTCTATGCTCTCTACAAGGCACTTGTCCATTGGAGACACTTCCTTTTGGGAAGGTTCTTCTATCTGAGGACTGATCATCAGACCCCCAAATGGATCAAGACTCAACCGGCTCTTTCTGATGCACTCAAGCGATGGATTGAGGTCATAGACCAATATGACTTCAAGCTTGAGTACCTTAAGGGAGAGTACAACAAGTTTGCAGACGCGTTATCCCGTAGAGCAGACTACCTAGGTGGGCTAGTTTATGAATTTGGCGTATCTAATGAAGTAACTCAATCATTGGTGGGTGCCTATCAGGAAGACCCGGTCACGATGGACATCATCCGCAAACTTCAGGCAAAAGACAAGGCCACAGAAAGTGAGTTTGTCATGGTGGATGGGCTAATCTATCTTGATAAGGCCGGAGTAAAGAGATTGGTAGTTCCATCTAGTGAACAGTTGAGTAGTTTATTTTTAGGCGAATGTCATGACGCAACTGGGCACTTTGGCTACAAGAAGACGAGTGCTAACTTAGTACAACGATTTTGGTGGCCCAGAATGTTAGATGACGCAAAGAAGTATGTTGAGACTTGTCAGGTCTGTCAACGGGACAAGCCGCGAACTCAAGCACCGCTTGGGTTATTGAAGCCTTTACCTATTCCTGATGGTCTAGGATTGAGTGTTTCCATGGATTTCATGGACACTCTTGTGACCAGCAAGAGTGGTAAGAGGCACATTTTCGTCATCATTGACCGATTCACCAAGTACGCTAGACTAATACCAATGCCAGAGACAACTAGGACAGAATACGTCATCAAGTTGTTCAAGGACAACTGGGTAAGGGACTTTGGTTTACCAAAGACCATCATTAGTGACCGAGACGTCCGATTCACAAGTGAGCTGTGGAAGAAGACTGCGGAACAGATGGGCAGTCAACTTCAAATGACTTTAGGGAATCATCCCGAAGCCAACGGACAGGCCGAACAAATGAATAGAGTTGTACAACACTTCCTGAGGCATTACATCAAGCCCAGGCAGGATGACTGGGATGAGCAGTTACCTCTCATCGCCAACTTGTACGACAATGCTATACATAGCAGTACCGACGTTAGTCCTACCTGAAAACCGACTCGCTGCAACTCCAGGCACACTTGAATACGGTGTGCAATGTGAGAAGTTGCTGCAAGATGCTGTTGAACATATGAAGAAAGCTCAGCAAGCCATGATTGCTTTTGAGAATCAACATCGCAGACAGTCCACATTTCAGGTAGGGGAACGTGTCTGGGTCAAGGCTAGTGAGTTAGGACAGGAGTTCGGAATATCTCGCAAACTAATGCCTCAGTACTTTGGCCCCTGGGAAGTCTTGGATGTAGTGGGAGATGAGTTGGATGGTTCCACATATGTCATTCGTGTCCTTGGACACCTACGCACTCACCCAGTCTTTCATGCCTCAAAGCTTGCACCTTTCGCTGAGACTGATCAATCCCCTTCCAGGAGATTTGATGCTGCCCCCAACCATGGATGGACAAGTCGACATCAACGACATTGTGGATCACAGGGATATGCCTGTTCCGAAGCCGCTAGGTCGAGGAAGACCTCCTAAACCCAAGAGGGAGTACCGGATCAGATTCAGGCATCATACGGATCCTAAAGAAGATCGGTGGTTTACCCGGGAGGAACTGATGGAAACAGCTCCTCAGGTGGTGGCAGATTATGAACGGAAGCTAAAAGGGAAGGCACCTGCGAAGTAAGCATCTCAGCGGACTTTCGAAGCTAAGGGGGATGGAATGTGAGGATTGAGCCCTCAAGTAGGGGCCTTGCCGTGATGTACATGTTCTGGGCTAAGGCCCCGGCAAGCCTAGTGCCTGCCCTAAGTGAAGGCGGGCCAGCAAATCAACAAGAACCCTCTATGCCAACATTTCACGAAGTGGGGTCTATACAGTTGCAGCACGCCAGTTGGTTGGAGTGCACCGAGTCTCGGATTTCAGCAAATGCTGAAATGCCCAGGGCCTTTGAGTTAGTTAGGCCTTGGGCACTCGAACGTGAGGCCGACAATGCATGCTGGGTAGAGAGGCCGAAAATGCCAAAGGGAAATCGACCCACTATCTGAATCTGGCCGCAGGCCTTGATGAGAGAGGCGCAACTGCATTGCTTCGGGGCCCAACTGTATCGGGTAGGCTTCAGCCTCTGGGCCCCGGTCACAGGCTGAAGGAAGGCCGCCCACACGCTGCATTGGCATATAGGCAAGCAGGGCGAGTGGGCAGGGATCTTGGCCAATGCTGGCACTTGCGGGCACGCTGCGCGGATGCATGTATGGTGCGCTGTGCAAGGCAGTGCTGCGCTAAGAGCAAGCAGGCCAGCGCTAGGCGGTAGAGCACTACCTGCACGAAGGGCACTGGCGGCCATAGCCGGGCCGCATGAGGGTGCAGGGGAGGTGAGGGCGAAGGTGGTACTTCGGAGGTGAAGGGCGCTGTGTGGGTAACAWGGGAGAGTGTGGGGAAGARGACACRTACCTGGTGAAGGTGGAGGTCGGCATTGGTGTTGACATCATCACTCGCTGGTAGTCAAGTTGTCTGGTTGCTGTTCATTGCTGTAGTTGTAGGATAGGCTGTAGAGTAGAAAGGGCGCCTGGCGCCATTCACAAGAGAGAGCTACATTTCGGTTATGCTGTTGGTCTTGCCCTGTTGGGCATGGACATTGACTCACGATTCTTCTGTATCATTCTCAATTGGATGGTTACTCGGTTCCATGTGCTATCTGCTTGGGCTTTGACTACTTGGACTTCAGTGTGATTTTGCATTCTGGATTTCTGTGCTTCGTCCATACTCATGTTCCTTGCACATAGCATACTTTGAAAAATGATTGACTATGACCATGACTTGGCTATTCTCATTCCAACTCTTGGTGAGACTCATGAAGTCTATGGATAGACTCACCTTCTCCGTTGGGGATAGGAAGTGGTCTGAGTTGTCCCTATGAATTCTCATGGGACGACTTGTTTCTCTGGTACACAAGACAAGTTGTCATGTAGGCTAGTATGGCTTCTTTCATTCCTTGCCACTCAAATGGTTCCTGAACACTCACCTGGTCCGTTGGGAATAGGAAGTGGTCTGAGTTGTCCCAGTCGATTCTTATGGGACAACTTGTTTCTCTGGCACACAAGACAGGTTCTCACATAGGCTAGTATGACTTCTTTCATTCCTTACCACTCAAATTGTTCCCGAACGTTAGCATAGGTCTTCTTGAAGCCAATTTGAGCTTCGGTGTCATGACATTTACCCAAAATTAAGCTTTTCACTGCTTCATCATGGGGAATACAGATTTGTTGTTCACCTTTGTCCAACAAGAAGAGAATGTCATTAATCATCTTATAATCTGGGAGGGGTTCAGGGTTTGTTTTCAAAGATTGGATTATAGGCTGCCATGTTACGTCTGTAGTATACCCTTCTCTGACTTTGTTTTTCAGTTCGCTTCCTATATCAAGATAGGTAACAATAGTTCCGAAGGAATCAGATCTTCTAGAGAGAGCATCAGCTACCACATTGTACTCACCTTTGATAGTTTTCAACTCAAGTCAAAGGTGTCTATGATAGCGGACCATCGTGCTAGCTTGTCAAATAGTCGTGGTTGCGTCTTGACTCTTGAGCCATTTCAATGTTTCATGGTCTGAGTAAACATTGAAGTGTCTGCCCAACAGGCAGTGCTTCCACGTTGTTAGCGCCTGTAGCAAAGCAAACAACTCTCTTTCATAGGTAGAGCTACCCATTTTCTCAGAAGGAAGGCGACAAGATATAAGCTCAATAGGTCTATACCCCTTCCCATCATCTTGCTGCAAGACTGCCCCTATCCCATACTGACTTGCGTCAGTCGTGACGACGAATGGAAGTGAGGGGTCAACAATCTTGAGAACAGGGTAGTGAGTCAGAGCATACTTAAGCTTCTTAAATGATGACTCACAATCTTTGTCCCTTAGCCAAATAGTGCTTTTTTTCAGTAGCCTCCTCATTGGGGCCACTATACTAGAGAAGTTCCTTACGAACTTCCGGTAGTAGCTTGCCAAACCCAGGAAGGAGTGCAGTTCAGTTAGATTCCTTGGCTTAGGCCAGTCGCTAATCACAACAATTTTCCTTTCTTCTGGCCTGAGTCCATCTTCATTCACTACATGTCACAGGTAGAGAACTTCAGACTTAGCAAATTCTGATTTCTTGGGGTTCAGTTTGAAATTACCTTCACGTTCCTGCTAATAATGACTAACGGTTTTCTAAATTGAGAGACTATCAAGGGAGGTCCTATGCCACAGCCAGTGCGATCAAGACATACAACAAGGTCAGTCTGCTCAATCAAGAAGAACAACAGCCCACCAGGTAGGTATGTAATATGCCACGTCAGCAGCAATACAAGAAACTACAATTCTTTCCTTTCATCTTTGTCACTTTTACTTGCAATATGCCATGTCAGCAGCAATAATCACAATACATCCAATCGGAGTTAGCTGCTGCTACTCTCATCTTTGTTCCTTGGAGATGTCTGGCCAGGCATGCAACCAGGCGGGTGGCACTACAGCAATGTCTGCTTGCTGTACCGCCCACCTGGTCCCATACACGCAAGTCCTTCTTCTCCACTGGCCCGACCTCCAGTTGCCACGTAAGCGGTGCTTTGTTCCAACAACGTGCCTAGTCAACAACAATGCTGTCTTCAGTGGCTGCCTGCCACATCAGCCCCGGCCTCTCTTCTGTGGCTGTCTGCCACGTCAGCATGAGGTGTAAACCTCGTGTGTGATGTTGTCTGCCACGTCAGCAGGCATGCGCTTGCCTTAATCAGCAGACACATCCACATCAGCAATGGCCCTAAGCATGTAAGGCAGAGCGATTTCTCTGTCCAGTGTCACGTAAGCACTCCATGTCAGCAGCACAGTCTGCCACATGGCACTCTGATGGATCTCATCACCTGTGGAATATCACTTCAACAGCGGTCTTCAAGATGCCGCTCTTCTCCTTCCACAGCGGACTTCTACACCATCATCATCATCATCATCATCATCATCATCATCATCATCGTCATCATCATCATCATTATCATCTCACTCGTTGTCATCAGCAGCAGCCGGCGTGGTAAGTGGATATCGCTCTGATACAAAATTGTAATGAACCCAGTCTCATGAGAAGCCAATCGTGTCTGAACCCAGAAGATACAATAATGTCTCCAAATCAATTATATGTTCATGCCCAGCATATGTGCACTTTCCAAGAGCATCGTATCTTCAGAGAAGAGAATGGGGTAGTGGGGAGAAGAGACAGAGAGGAGGAGGAGAAGAGTCCCAGTAATGACCAATAACGCATGAAGTCTCTTCCTGCCCATTTCCTCCTTGGGCATTACCCCCCCTGTCGCCACCTCAGCAGTGCAGTCTCTCTCTGACGCCCTCTGGCAGTTTCAGTGTGCTGGTCACAGCAGGGCGCCCATCCTCCAGCCTCTTCAGCAGCCAATCAGGGAGGATGGCGCAGATCTTCCTCACCTTCGTGGAGATGGGCAGCAGATCATACACGACATCGCCAGGTAAGTCCAGGTAAGCTTCCCCTCGAACCATCTCCAATCTCGCAGCCTTGATCCTCCCCCTCCTCGCCCAACCTCAACACCAATGTCTATAGCTATGGCGGCAATGGCCGCTCCAACATAATCTCCTCTGATGCTGGCGTCCCCCCCAGCAGCACTGGCGCCAGCATAATCTCCAGCAACCTCCGGATACCGTACTAGCAGGCAGAATGCCTTTCCCAGTGTCTGACCGTTCTTTTGTAGCGTTGACCAATGTAGACTGGCGTGGACCAGTCTTCTCTTTGTTGGTATCAACGCTGCAGATTTCCTCACTTTCGACGGCCGGGATGCAGCTTTGCAGCAGCGGTACCTTTTCCCAGTTGGGACTGGAATCTTCCGGACCTGCAGACAACCAATGATGTGGCATCTGATCGACGGCCACGGCTGGCTAACGCGATGACTTTGACTTTGGCCTGGAATCCCGAGGTGGGGTTGACTCTTGATTTTCCAAGAGTCAACTGTCTCACGTTGGGGTACTAGACACAGCTTTCAACTCAGATCCTGGTACCCCTTGACCCTGACCCTAG